CAGATGGGCGGGATATAAATCAAATAAATAGAAATAGAAATAGAAATAGTGGGGGTTTTGTACCCTGGCCCCCTGTTGGGTCATGGCCTTAGCAAGTCCTCATCAACCACCACCACCTACTTCACACATATTAGGGCCGTTTGTACCCTGGCCCCCTGTTGGATCATGGCCTTAGCAGGTCCTCATCAACCACCACCTACTTCACACATATTAGGGCCCTGTTGCACAATCAGTTCGCCTGGGACTTGACTTCAACCCACAATCCACCTACAGACAAGAGGCTGAGAAAATCAACAAGCATAGGCAGGAGCAGAGGGCTCCTGACTCATTCTATTCCCCAGATAACAAGTTTGTTATCTCTGGTGGGTAGAGTTTGCAGGGCCATGGAGAACTGCAGCAGATACAAGAGCATGTATCTGGAAGATCTTAGGAACAGTTGACACAGGATCCTGTTGCATGTGTAAGAAACAGCATAAATGATTTTTAAATCTGCAACACTCTCCAAACCTCATGTCGAATGGCTATCGTGAACCAAAACCTCTAAGTATGCTTCCATGAATTATTTGCTTATTAATTTACTTGCTATATTTCTATAGTTCTGCACTGCCTCTAATTTGAACAAATTACAGTACCATTTAGAGCAACACTTTCAATGAAAAAACGAGAACAGAACTGTGTCACTAGAGAGGGTGCCAACTGCTCCTAGGTGGGAGAATATCGAAGCAGAAAGATCTGTTGTCACCAAATGCTTGAAACACAGGAGCACTCAGGGAAATATATGGAGGGGGGATCGTTTCATGAGGGAGGTGCCAATGCAGAGAAGACCCATCTCCATGCCGCCAAGTGTGCCACAGAGAGTAACTGCTCTGGTGTCAAGGGAAGCCTGGTACTCATGCGCACATGTGTGCTTTATGAAATATCTACAGTACACTGAGAAGTGAGATAACTCCAAGGCACTCTTTTTCACGTAGGCAGAGGTTGCTCTCTGCAGGTACCAGCTTCATGGTGCTGAGCTTTCGATTGTAGCTCCATGATTCATGGCTAATCTGTGTTTGGTGATCAACTCCCAAATGGGCAAGGAGTGAGTTTCCCTCACACTACTCTGACTGGGGCTGGCCCTAGGAGAAATAATGCCACTTCTCTGACTGGGGCTGGCCCTAGGAGAAATAATGCCCTGAGTGAGGAACCTTCCCCCCCACACACACACACCCCAGCCTCCAAATTCTAGCTCAGACATAGCCCTGGGAGTCTTTCCCCTCCACCGTTGTCAGCACAAGGACATCCTTCTTCCACAGGTGGGAAGATCAGTGACTGCAGACTGAGAGGAGACTGAGTGGAAAAAACAGGGAAAGAGGCAACATCAGGATAAATGAAAAGAGGAGTGCCTAAACTGGAGATTAAAGAGGAGTCCCTATCTGTCTGGGCCTCCAGGCCTTTTGCTGCCATTTTATTTGCGTGCATGTGTCACCGCCCCCCCCCCACAGCAAGGCAGACAGGAGGTGGACCAACAGCCGCCAACCCAAAGGTGTTAAGTGTCCACAGAGAAATCAAAGCCAGTCATTTCCATACAGCTTTCTACCACGTTCAAGATTAAATCAGCTGACCACCGATTAGTTCCTCTTTAGATACTCTGGGTCAGGTTTGCCCAATCACCTGTGTGCGATTTTTTTGGGGGGGGCTGTAACTGAGAAAAAGGAAAAGGCAACAGTGGCAGGGAGGGGAAAGAGGGGAAACCCCCACCTTTGTTCCTAAATCATTGCCAGGCACCTCCTGTTGGCCCTCCTGTCCTTGGGTTAAGAATGCCAGCCATGACCGTTCTTTACTACTTGAGCGGAATAATTGTTTTCATGGGGATGTTTGAAGCTGGGGCAGGCGACTGCAGTGGGCCCAGGGGCCAATTTTCTACCCTGGAACCCTCTGGGACATAGGGACTGCCAAACCAGTCACCAAAGGAGACCAGAGGTGGATGGAAGCCCACCTCCCCGTCTGAAAACATGGACCAAGGCGAGGGTGATCCGGGGAGGTGGTGGGGCACACTTTGCCCCACGCTTGGCCTAAGGATTTGTGGGCGAAGTTGGAATACATTGATGCTCCGAATGTCAAGGGCGGGGGGGGGTCCCAGTGCTTTTGTGGGTTGCAGATGTCCACCTGAGCAAAGGTGATGGGATGGCCCTCTCTGGATGCATTCCCAGAGAGCAGGATCTCTCTCAAGGGAACGCCATGTCCTGTTTTTGACATTGTTCCAGCCGGGAAGCCTGGGCGGGGGTTTGATGGGGTGAGGCTGCCTAGGGTGACAAGGCTGGCCCTGGCCACGGAGGATGCTGGCCACGGTTGGCTTCCCGGGCGGAATCCTGTTGCGGGTCGAGGATGCCTTTCCTCCGGCGGCGGGCGAACTCCCCGGGCCATCCTCTCCCTCCTCCTGCCCTCTCACCCCCCGGACTGCCGGGCAGCCAGAAGCGGAGCGAAGAGGACGAGCGCAGGCCTGGGGGGGGGGGGGGGGGGGGAGTTCCGTGGCGCACCGAGGACGACCCCTTGGCCCGCCGGGGGTCCCAGCCCCATTCGTCCTCTCAGCGATCCACGATTTGTTCCTTGGGATGGGGCACTGGCCCCTTGGCCAGTTCGGGTCTTGCTCCCCACCCCAAGGAAGCTGTCACCGCGCAGCAGCAAATGATGATGATGATGCACGATTCCCCTGCTCACGGCCCCCTCTTTCTCTCAACTCCTCTCGCCCGCACCTCCCCCC